ACCCCTCTCCACCAGCGATGAACTTGGCAGCCGCGGTTCCCTACCTGGGGTGGGGGGTTTCAGCAAGGGGGGGCATCTTTGCCTCGAGGCAGACATCGATTCCCCTCTCTTTGGTCTTTTGCAGAATCAGAAGGACCCGGGTGTCGTGGACAGGATGATGAAGAAACTCCATTTGAATAGCGACGGGCAGCTAGACTTCCAGGAGTTCCTGAACCTCATCGGGGGCATCGCGGTGGCCTGCCACAACAGCCTGGTTGTTAAGACCCCTACTCCCTAGCCCTGGCTGCTGTGCCTCCCCCACCACTGCGAACATTCCTCGAACAAGACCGATGCAAAGCTGGAAGCAGTGCCCTTAAGATAGGGACACCCCCATTCCTCATTTTTACATACAAAATAAAAGCTTTAAAATCCTAGCATACAGCATCGTTTTATTTCAGCATCGTGAGTGAGGAGAAAGCCCTAGGAAGGGAGTCCAGCCACAGAGGCAGCAGGATCTCTAGGTCCTACCCTCTGCTTCTCCACCGACGCAAGAACACACGTGTTCCCAGCCTTGTCACTGCCAGAAACTACGATCCGCCTGGCTTTGCGATCCTTCAGCCCGTCAAGTACCGTGGGGAAAGGTACAGCAATACTGAAGGGTACAGCTATGCACGGTAAAGGCATAGGCAGGAGCATTACCAGTAAGCATTTGAGCACTGCCAACAGCAATTACACACTAATAATTAACAGAAGCAGCTCCTGCTGGCACAGTACATTATTTCACAACTACATCCTCCATTTTCTGGAAACTTCAAACCCTCCAAGTCTGGTAGCTTACGGGTGCAAAAGAGGAGGGGGAGGAAGGTGAAGAGAGGAAGTTAAACCTAATCTCTCTTCTATCTCAGCAAGACCAATCGAGCTACAAAACAGGAAGATCAAGATGGTCAATTTACTTTATTCTTGCAAGCAGCTGATTATTTTGAAAGATGTTGCTAGGACAACGAAACAACAAGCCAACACTAGTACCTGAATGCTGAGCTGCTCTCCTGCCACTTCCGAGGGGAGCAGAGCTGCCCCGAGCTGGGACAGACTTTGTACCGACCCTGGTTCCAGACAGTGCCGCGCTCCTGCGAGAGCCAGGCTCGGCTCTTCCTGCTGTCCAGGATGCAGCAGGGTCTTTGAGCTCTTCTTCCAGGAGCCCAACACTAAAAGATATATGAGGCAGCTGCTGCCTCTCAAGCAGTTTCTACAGAGCGCGCTGCGTGCTAACCAGGGCTCAGCAAGAGCCACCCTTTACCGTCTGGAAAAGATTTGCCTCGAGACAACGGTTCAATAAACATGACATCAGCTGGATCTGGAAACAGAAACACAAGTTGCTACCACTTGGAAGCAGCTAAGAGTCTCACTACAGCATTCCTGGGTGGGGAAGAGCAGGTAAGACACAGCACAGGCACAGCTACAGCGAGGAGACTACATTAAAAGGAGGAATGGGAGGAGGTGAAAGCTTCCACGCTGTGCTGTGAAACGAGACCGTCTCCCTCCGATCTCGCACCTCGCCAGGACAGGCATGCCCTAGCGGAACTGGAGCGGGCTGATCCGCAGCCCGATGACATCTTTGCCGATCTCCGTCACCTGAGGAATAAAAGGGAGATGATTAATGCTTGAAAGCAACTCAACAGCCCAACCCCATATGCAGCGTTCAGAGTCTAGACGGTTCCTGAGAACACGTGCTGCCAGTCACTGCAAGGTCGGTCCCTGAAGGTACCATTTGAACTACACAGCATTTCCCAGTTCCCAAACTGTTCCGCCTCACGCGCCAAGTCCTCCGAAACTCAACTTTACCCAAAACCTACGCCAAGTTAGGGACAAGCATGGGGGAAGCTGCTGGAGGGGATTCTCAAGGGAAACATCACGGGTTAGGAGCGGGTGGTAACAGCCGCTGAGACTCCCTTACCGTAGTGACGCGGCAGATCTGCCCGTGGAACTCGGGGCAGTAGCAGGCTCCGCTGAGGGGACACTTCTCCACGGGTTTGCCGCGATAGATGGGTCGGTAAGAGGCGGCACAGATGTCAAAGGGGTTGTGCATGTCGTAGTTGAGCTGGTAGGTGTCAGTGGGATTCTTCTCACACGCCGACAAGATCTTGCGAGTCTGCAAAAAGCAACCACATTGACCAGAGGGGCAGCTAGGAAGCAGTCCACACGGGGTCTGCCACAGCAGATCTTTCTGCCCGTGCACCTCACAGACGTACCTGCTGGGCCACCTCGGGCTTTGGACCCAGCTCCAGCAGCCGGCGGGCAAAAGTAGCAGCTGTCTTGAAGTTTTTGAGTTTGAAGAAGAGGTTGAGAGCAGTACGCAGCACCAAGATCATGTGGACAGGCTGCAGGTTGGAGTGGGTGAAATAGGCGGCCATCTGCATTAGGGAGAAGGAGGGAAAGTTGGGATACAATCACTACCAACCACGTGAATAACTGGAGGCTCTGAGAATGCTGTCAGAACACCCCCAATGACACCACTGCCACATCTACTTCAAAGAAGGAAATGTCCTAATTCAGGATTCCCAACGCCTTTTTAAACTCCAAGGCTACTTCTCCCTGATCTCCCTCATAGTGAGGAAACTCAGTGTTTCTGTACCTCGCAGATTCGCTTCTGCTGCTCCAGGGTCTCTTTGGGCAGCTTCTTCCGCTCAGTCTCCATGGAGAGTCCTACAATGTACTCCCGGCAAATGGCTATCAGCTGCTGGGCCTTTCGGAGAGGGAGACGGAGTCAGGCATTTGGCCTCCTGCACCACAGGCAGGCAGACAACGGACCGAAGAGTCCGCCCCTCACCTCCGCGATCTCCTGCTTGTTGTCCACCACCAGCAAGGGCACGCTGAGCAAGATGGAGCGGAACTTCTCCACGGCCTCCTCAAACTTGCCAGCCGTAGTGAGCTGGTAACACAGCTGCAGGCGCTGGATCAGGTCGTTGAGTTTCAGTCCAACGGCAGGGAGGGCATTCTTCAAGCCAGCTTCTTTCCTGGGGGCACCAAAGAGGGGTTGGGGGTGCAAACAGGACCACTGCAGAGGCCAGCAGGAACACACACACATTGTCAGCTTGACTGCAACTTGTCAGAAACGTTTTGACCTAGGGCCACGCTGTTTTTCTTTGCCATTAGCTTAGCACAAAAGACACCTGCGCTTCCATAATTCTGCCACCCACAATGCCCAGCTCTCTGCATTAGTGCAGGCTGGGAAGTCTGGCTCATTTTTCAACAGCGGCTTCCAGGCATCGCTGTAAAAACACACCTGTGGTGCTCTAGATGCCTCAGACCAGTTTTGTCAGAGGCAGAGCACTAGTGCTAGAAAACACAGCACCTCAACTGCCTCAGCCTGGTGGTAGTCTCTAAAAAAAATAAATATCAAAGCAGTTCTTTAACATCTTTACACTTAACAGCAGGCAGCAGAAAAATCTTACTAAAGACAGAATGCTCCCTATTTATATCCAGCAAACAGGAAGCTTCCTCCCTTCACAACAGAGGGAGGAAATATTTCTGGCTACAACTGTCAAGGAGTCTGGGAGGCACAGGGCACAAGAAAAAGAGCACAAAAAGGAGCTTACCAGTTGCGATGTGGGTAACCATACATGGCAGGGAGACATGGCAGGGCTTGGTAGGTCGTACGGCCACGGGCATAGGTCTGCAGGAACAGCTGCTTGTAGGGTCCAAAGTTTGTTACTCCTACCTGATCATGGAGGAGCTGAAAGAGACACGTTGGTCTGCTGAGTAAAAGTTGTCCAGGACTGTACAAAGGCTGCACTCAGGCTCACAGCACCTCTTATTTTACACCCAGAGAAAACAATGCACAAAATGATTCACAAAAGGACACAAATCGTAGCTTCAGACTGGATCAGAGACAAAAATCCATGGGGACAAGGGCACAATCTTTTCCCTAGGAACTCCAGGGGAAACTTACTCTCATTGCTGTCTCAAAGGAGCCTGCCAGAATGTGGTCAACAGGAAGCTGAGAATTGTTACACCACACCTACAAAAACAGAAGGGAAACATATACAAGAGGAATTGTGTACACACACACATTTGTTGTACCTACCCTAATCGCTCCTAACTCCCCTTAACAAAGTTCCTACACTGTGCTCACAGATGAGTGTTAATGAGAGGATTGAAACAAAAAAAAAAAAAAAAAAAAAGCCAAAGTAAAAAGTCTCCGAGAAAGACAATCAAAGACTTGTGCCACTACCTGAGCTGGGCTGGTGCCCTTGGTGGGTGGCACAAAGAATCCATCCTCTGCTGCTCCTGTGGGACCAGCAGGAACATCCTGGGGGAACACACAGATCAGTGATTAGTGCGGAACTTTCCAGCACCCAGATGAAATCAGAGCTGGCCGCAGCTGTGGTGACCAAGTCTCTGAAGAAGCCCAGAGCACATTTCCCCCCCCACCACCACAAGTTGTCATTGCCTTCCCAAGTAACTACCTCCGGGCTACTTAAGAAGCCTCCTGAAAGCCTCCTACCAGTTCAGGGGGAAGATCCAAATCTTCTTCGACTTCCCATCCACCTCCTTCTTCCTGTCCTTTACCTAGACCTTCCTCTCCAAAGCCCTCTCCAGCATCCACAAAGCCATCTGCATGGAGGGGGCAGGAGGGAAATAGTCAGAGCTCTTACACAAGCACACACCTTTCTGCAAGAAAAACTCTTGGGTTCACCCACCTTCATCCAGCTGCAACTCTGCATCTTCTCCCCAGCCTTCAGTGCCAACAGTGTCGATATCAATATCAGCAGCCAAGGCACCTCCTTTGCCTACAAAAAGGGTAGGATCCTTTATCCTCGCTGAGGGGGTCAGGTATTAAGCAAAGAATTATGTGAGGCCAGCACTCTCCCCTCCAATTGTCAAGTCCCATCTTGTGCTAAAACACCAAAAGTTTGAGAGATTTGCCAAAGACAGTGTAAAAGCCAAGCTGGATTCCAACCTCCGCTAGTAACACACAACAAACCTGAGGTTAACAGCAACGGTTCAGGAGCCACAGAGACAAATATCCCCCACATTCAGCACATCCCAGCTTAAAGGAACCTTCCAAGTAGAAAGCAATACCTTTGCTAGCGATTGTTCCTTCGAAGAACCCCTTGGAGACAGTCAGCAATGGCCAGTTGGTATCCAGAGGCATGACAGGAGCAGGCGGCTGCAGCAGCTTTGCATTGTGATCAATGTCTGGAATCTGAGCAGAAAGGAGCAGGAAACAGTTAAAGGCCACATAATGAAAATCCCGTTCTTTGGCCTCCTCGCCTCCGAGCAGCACAGTCACCAGCC